TATATATATATATATATATATATATATATAAAGAACCTCGATAGTCAATACCCTTCTTCCTCTCTCATGTTTTCAGTTTCCAATAACATATACTCTAGTACCTCAATTACCATAAGACACACACACACACACACAGAGTACCTGTAATGTACAAAAGCTCGTGCATGATGTCGAAGCCATGGTATCAGATGAATTAATTGCTTCCTGGGATGCAGCTCCTATTAAAAACTTATGGAACATACGAAATGCTACCATGGTTTCAGTGCTCCCTGGTGGCAACCACTTAAATGACGAGACGCATATAAGACCAGCTTCAAACATTTTCCTTCCAGAAATTCCTAGCTCCTCTTTCATTGAAGAACCTTGATCCTCCAAACCAGGTTGTTGATCCCCTCTCTTCACGCTAGAGAGAGAAGCTTCAACACATATCGCACAGTAGGCAAGCACATCCAATTTTAGAGCTTTCAGAGCCAATGGATCAAAAACAGGAGGGTAAAAACTATAGGCCATTGGAACCACAGTGTGACTCCTCTCCCTCTCCAGAGACAAAACCTCGAGACCCAAAAGCCAATGAACCACGAGAAGGCGGAAAACAAGTTGTTCGGGTACTTCTTTCGATATAAGAACGAGACGCCGGGCGATTTCTTTCTCTTCACCATCAAAAGCATCTGAGAAATGCGAATACAGCATAAGAACAACATGCCATAGGAGAGGGTTATAGGAGTAAAGAAGGCCAAAGAACTGCACCTTCAATAGAGAGACCTGAAGCTCTAGAGCCACTGCAACATGTATAAGCATTGACACAAATTCAAGCATTGCACTAGGAGTCAAAATCTGAGGCCTCTCCAAAAGGAAAGCCATGACCCTTCGAAGCTCCTTTATATTCAAAGATGATAGCTCTCTGAAAGGTATTGAATTTGATTCTTCTCCGGGGATTGAAGCCACCAAAAAGCTTGGTACATTGAAAGGGACAATTGGGTTTGTAATAGAGAGAAGGGAAGAAGCAAGAGACAGAGGAGAAGGTGAATTGGGTTTTGATCGAGAATTATTCCCCATCAAACAAACAATGTCATGAACCAGATGGGTCAACAAGAGAATGTAGTTTTGTGCACAATGGGTTCTCTCACTTTGGCATAAGGCCCAAAAATGGCCTGAAAGCTCATAAAATAGGCATGGATAAGCCCTCTCAAGCTCTCTCAAACACTCACAAGCAACCCCTCTTGTTTGCCTATCAACCCCATAACTAGGCCTATTAATCACAGTGAGCAAAAGCTCAGCTAAAGCTCCCAACCGACGTGATGATTTGTGAAGGCCATCAGCTACAATTACCACTGAAGTTGCAGAGACCATCATTTGCTCCTTCAAAGCATATGTTACAGAGACTCCATCAACTGGAGCTTGAACTAGAGCTCTTAAAGCTTCTAGGACACTGCCCAAACCCTCGTCTACGTCAGCTTCTGGGATCAAAATTTCAGAGAATTCTTCCATAAACACAACCAGATGCGATTTAAGCAAGAAATCCTTCTTCAATACATTGAACAAAGCAAGTTCAAGAATGGTAAGACGAGGATACAGAGCCAACCATTTCTCTTGTTTAACAGGCCCTGACTGAAAATCCTCCATGATTGTCTCCCAATCCTGAACAGAAAGCTGCCTTCCCAGCTTTTCCATCTCAATCCAAGCTCAATCAAAACAACAAAAAAAAAAAAAAGAAAAAAAAAAAACCCTAATTTGCAATATCAAAACCTTTCGCCCCTCTCAAAGAGAAACCAGCTTCTGCGAGTTATCAAATCTAGGGTTTTTTGTATTTCATTTTTAGTGGGTTCAAATCTACAGATTCAACCGCTAAATTCATCATGTTCCTGGGTAAATAGCTGCAAAAACGTACAAGCCTTTAAACTCACCTAAGTTTGGGGATTTCTCCATGCCCATGGCCATGTAGAGAGAAAAGTGAGCTCTGCAAAAAAACTGACTGCTCCCATGTTTTCGCTTTTTACTTTTCCATATATATATATGTATATAGTTTGCAGAGAAAGGAAGACAAATCCAAGGTTGGGTCTGGGCTGATGCAGTCACACTCTTCCATGATTCAAGACCTCCATCTCTTACGTTCTTAATTGTGCAACTTGTCGTACACTGTGCAATAATCTACCACGATATCAAACTGGGAACGGATAATTTTCTGAAAGTACACACATTTGTAAATCATTTTTTCACTTTTACCCCATGCGTGTATGGGTTTACTTGCTGGAATTGTGATTCTTACCATTGAAGTTATGGGCGACACTACTATTTTGGGGATTGTAGACATATCACTTATCTTTGAGGTTTGTATAGAGCCTAGGCTCTAAACATTCAAATTAGAGCCTATCTCCAAATAGTGTTGAGAAATATGGTTTTAATTGATAGTGTTGAGAAATGTGGTTTTAATTCTTAAAATATTTGTGATAACTTTAAAATATATTTTTATCTTTATTTATAAAGTCTAAAGCTTCAAAAATAACGTAGATCTATGAAAATTTTTAAAATTGACAATCTAAAAATGCGTTACAAAATACACTATTTTCAAAACTTGAAATCCATTTTTTTTCTCATATCTATGCATCTTGATGTCGAGATAATCAATTTGAACATATTTGAGCATCAAAACAACCTATTCTAATGAAATTTTTGAGGTAGGTTCAATTTTGATTATTTAGAGCCTCGACTCTCTATAAACTTTTCTTTTTATGTTTTGTACAATGGGGTTATAATCATTCTCACTTTGATGTCAAGTTGAATGGTTTGGGATAAGTCATGAAGTACATAAGATTTTTTTTTATATATAATTTTGTGTCTATTCAATGGCATTCTAACAGCCACCCATTATGACCTCTATATACAAAAGATAAATAGTGTCTTTGTAGAAAATCTCTATTTTTGGGTGCGACGATAATAACATTAATACAATGACTGTTTTAAGAAACGCAAAAGCTACGCGTGCCTAGCAAATGTAGCACTAAGATGGGATGGGTGACCCTGGGCCAATTTGGTCTGCCCAGCGCCATTATTTATTTAATCTTTTTATTTTGTTTCTTAAATAGCCAGGACCAACTTAGCACGAACCTGATAAGGCCTTCGGTTGGGCTAAGCCGGAGCCCTTGGGCTGGCCCGTTGCTAGCTCTACATGCATTTGTCTCTCACTCTACTCTCTCTTTAGTCTGAACCTTAAGCTCCTAAGGGGTATTAACCCAGTCATGTTCATCTTACAAGGTCTAGATTTAGATTAAAATATTGTTCGACCCCTACTTGGTCTGGGTTTCGATCTACGTCCAAACACGACTTAGGGGTGGCAATCGGGTTGAGTCGAGCCGACAACTCAAAAGGTTAACCCAATCCAAGTTCGAGTCTAGGTCTAAAACCCTAGACCCGAGTAGAATCCGAGTTGTTAAAGGGTGCTTATACTATAGAGCAATTCATATAGGGTCATGTTATGGTGTTCACACTATAGAATAATTCATATAGGGTTATGTTAGGGTACTCATACTATAAAATATTTTATAATTGTATTCAACAAATTTTAGATACATGTATACTCTTGTTTTGTATATTAAGCATTTTTTTTATAAGTATTTTTTGTTATTAGAAAATATATGACATCTGATTTTTTGTTATTAAGAAGGGTGTGACATCACATCATCCACATTTTAATGACCAAAAATATCATTTTTTAAAAAATATTGTATTATAAAATAAAGGTGTGACATCACGTCATCCACATGAGGCTAACTTCCTAATAACCAAGAATATCATTTTTTAAAAAATATTATATTATAAAATACTAGTATAACCAAGAATATCATTTTTTAAAAAATATTATATTATAAAATATTAGTGTCAAAAATTTGTTGAGTATAAATTAAAGTTAAAGCCACAAGTACAGATTGGAACCAATAAAAGATAAACCAATTCTATTATACCGACTCAACAGTACTCGGATCTAAATTTTTAATTTATTATAAACTATCTCATCTTTTTTATTGAGCTTACACCCTTGTGACTCTATATGCCTCATGGATGTGGGATTAATCCCACACACTGGTAAGCTTAGTTTCTACTCAAATACCTCCATATGAAAGAAATGAGTTTTCATTTTTCAATTATCATGTTTGTACAAAAACGATCTTTGAGAAACTATAGAGAGATGCTTCCTGTTCTCCGAAAAAGCCTCCCCTTCTTCCTCATGAACTCTAGAGGAATTGTGCTCTGATCTTGGTGATTCCAATTGGATTTCGAATCCAAGTTATTGCCATTTCCTCTTTTGAATGAGTGGTTCTTTTGGTTTGGGTTCTGAGTGTCTTGGGCTGTTGTTCCTACGAGAAATAGCAATTCCAACATTACTTTGTTGAAACTCAAAACCCATGATTTATTGTTTGTGGGTTTGTGTTTTTTTTTTCATTCAGGTCGAGAATGGATTTAATGGAGATAGAGAGAGAAGGTTTGATGGACCTGGGACAGTTCCATAACCAGACTGGACTGGCTCTCTATCATGGCTGGAAAGTCGCAGAAACTAACAGGAAAGAATGGAACTACTTTCTTGCAGCCCCAAAAGCTGGCCCTTTATACCGGCAAATGTGAACTATAAATTTTATCTCTAAGATCACTTCTCTCTCACAAATTCTCTCTCTCTAAAATCTAGGGATTTCTCTCTCATAAACTTTGTCTCACTTTAGCGAAACAACTCAGGCACCCTATCCATCTCGCTCTAGACCAAATCAGCTCTCAAAATCTCTCATCTAAATTATTTCACTACTTACCAGTCTCTCTCAACTCTCTTTTTCCTCGCATTACTTTCTTTCTTTCTATTAGATGCATCTCCCATTCTCTCAGTCTCGTTTCTCTCTCTAAATCCGCCCCCCCTCTCCACCACTACCGGATTAATCCCACATCGAAGAGGGACACACAGTGATGGGTGCAAGTGCTTTAAAAGGGGTGGGAGAGTAACACATTAGAGAAGGTTGCAAGGCTTGAGTATAGATCTGGGTCTTGGGTCCCGGACCTTGAGTATTCTCTCAAGTACGAGTACTATTTTTATATCTGGTGGATATGGGTCTACAAGCGATAGTCGGGTTTGAGTATGGGTCTACAAGCGATATTTGGGTTTGAGTATAGGTCCAATGGGACACGAATCAATGTGGGAGCAAGGGAAGAATCAATGCGATAGTCGGGTTTGAGTATGGGTCTACAAGCGATATTCGGGTTTGAGTATGGGTTCAATGGGACACGAAGCAACGTGGGTGGGAGCAAGGGAAGAATCAACGTGGGAGCGAGAAGATGAAATCCGAGCCTTGTACCACTATTTATTTGCCTTGTACCACTATTTACTCAAGTAACGATTTTGAGGATAAAAGTGAGGACAAAATCTTTTTTTAGAGGGGTAGATCCATTTTTGGACCTTGTCAAGTCGGCTCCAGGTCAAGGTCGACCCAATTAAAATATATGACATAATAGAAGAAGAGGAATGAGAGAAGAAGATCTAAAGAGTGAGAAAGGGAGAATTTTAGAGATAGAGAGAGTCACTTTGGGTTCTAAAATCATCCATGCACTTCAATGCCAATCTTTTTTCAATGTGTACCTCAGTTAAAAAGGACGACCACCACCCAAAAATTCAACCTCCTGATAAAACAACCACCATTTGTCAAAAGTCAAGCCATGCTAATATTTTCCTTTTCTACAAATTTTTTTTTTTTAATATAAGTTGCCCTATAGAATGTTAACAGAAATAAGCCAGACCAATCCATATTAACAGAAAGACAAATCTGGTCTGAGCTCCCACAAAAACATCGTTAAGGGAACTCTTATGATATAATAAATTTTGAGATACTTCAATCAACTCTGGGACCAATTCCAATTGAAATAAAAAAATGCGCTCTAAAATCATTTCGTCTCAAAGACCGACTCTAAATCCTCCATTAGAGGGATGAAATAGAGAGAGAAATTTTTTAAAGAGATAAAGATAGAAAGATAAGGTGTACGGTTTTTGGATAGAGACAATCCATTTTTTATATGCTTGAACAAGATTAGGTTATTTTCAGGGTTTTCCCAAGCTTGCCTCTTCTTATGAAATTGAACATGGACCGTTGATCAAATATGACTTGTGGGGTGAGAGATTTGAACCATCCATTCCATAAATAGGCCAAATAAAATGCTAAGTATGGGTCCACTGAGTATGGGTCCAATGGGACATGACTCGTTGCTACCCCTAGTACAAATAAAATACCCAATGGGACACGACTCTATGGTTCCAAATAAAATGCTGAGTATGGGTCCAATGGGACACGAGTCGTTGCTGAGTATGGGTCCAATGGGACACAACTCGTTGCTACCCCTAGTTAGTATGCTGAGCATGGTACAAATAAAATGCTATGTAGTGTGAGCACCTTAATATACCCTATAAAATGCTATGTAGTGTGAGCACCTTAATATACCCTAGTACAAATAAAATGCTATGTAGTGTGAGCACCTTAATATAATCTTTATTTAGTAGAAGTTCTATATTCTCCCTACCATCTAACGATCCATTTTTTATCAAAAGAGCCACTCACCATTTGATCTTAGATCCGATGTCTCAAATTATTTTATTTTTAGTTTTTTTAATATTGATCTTAGATCCGACGTCTCAAAGTATTTTATTTTTAGTTTTTTTAATATAATTTTTTTAATATGAAATTTGGTACGTGACATCTTCTCATTGGGGCGCACCTATAAAAAATATTAACAATAATTTTTCGATAAAAATAATAACCAAAATACCCCTTGAAATTTTAAAGGTATTTTGGTCATTTTATTTGATTGAAAATATGTTTTTTTTATATTTCGTTAGTGCGAGTTTAATATAAGAATGGACGTTCAAAATTTGGTGTCAAAACAATTTATAAAAAAAAATTAAAAATAAAACAATGTAGAGACGTGACATTGTGATTGGGGCAATCTTAGCCCTCCATTAAAAAATGGACGGTTGGATGAAGGGTACATAAAACTTCTATATTGTAGGGAGAACGTAGAAAGCTTTTCTTGATATTCATGCGAAGAATAAAATCTTTTTTATTAAACGTATTTTTGATATCCTAACACACTAGTGGATAATATCCATGCGGAAATTAAAATTCACAATATCCACGAGGAAATTAAAATTCGAATTTGTATCCAACCTACAAATTGACAAAGTGTCCCTAGAAATGGCTTTCTCTACACCAAAATCGAGGTTTGTGGTTAACATAATCTTTTTTATTTCAAGGGTATCTTTACTTTTTAGTGAAGGTATCTTTTATCATTAAGATGTGTATGGCACCACGGCGATATCGGACATGCAGCACACTATTGGACAATATCCAAGCGGAAATTAAAAATCCATCTTATATCCAACATCAAACTGCACAAATGTCCTTAGAAATGAGTTCCGAGACCCAATTCTAAGTATCCCAGCTGGGCCTTTAGGGTTTTAATCCACGCTCTCTCTACTCCAAAATCGAGGTTTCAGGGTTTTTGAGTCTGGATTTCCTTTTACGTGTAAAAGCAAATGGTTTTAAGCTGATCTCTCTCTCTCTCTATCTATTCCGCCATGTCCTCTGATCCAGTCGTGCCCCGTGGTGCTCGTTTCCTCTTATCTTCACCACCATCAGGTACATATCTCCGTTGCCCATACTCTCCGAGCTTTTTTTTAAGGAATAAACAAGGCCATCACTTATGATGCGTTTCTCTCTCTTTGTTGATAGTTGCCCTAGATTTCGTAGACAAAGCCATCGATATAATCTTGACTGGTAAATCAACAAAGAGAGGTTATAAGAGAGCAGCTAATGCTCTACAGGTGACTGTGGAATCAGTGGAAGAGGCAATTCAAATGCTCTGTAAAATTTTTTTTTTTGGGGCTCAATCCAATTTGTCTAATGTCGATATGGCTGAGTTTCTTTTGAAACTTGAATTTGATAAAGCTTCTGCACAATGTTTGGCAAGCCATTTTTCTCAGAAGGCGAAAGAAATTAGAGATATTGTTGTGAGCCCCTTGCTTTATGCTCCTTCCTTTAAGAATATAGAGTGGAGGCTGGATATTCAGGTACTGGCAATGAATATCATTTTGTCGATGATTAATTTCCTGTTGAAGTTGTTCTGATTAACTTTATCAGCTAACTGGATTTTCTAAGGTAGAAATGTTACTGAAACTAAGTAATTGCATCAGAAACTAAGGCAATAAAACCTTTGTAGGAGCATGAATTTTTTAGAAAACCCTGATACAAAGAGGAATTTGTCCAGCTTTCTAAAAAATGGATTTCATAAATGAATTTGATTTCTGTTTATCGAATTTAATTTCTTCCCTAAGAGGCAAATAAAAATTGTTGAAAGCTTAAACCAACTAGGATCCTGAACATGATACTGAATAGTTTAGGACGAAAATTGTTTCTTTCGCATAGGGATAGTGCTTAGAAAATCTACAGTCCAAGTACCAAGGATACTCTACAAATAGCACATTGGCTTTATCCACTCTTTGTGGAATTAACCTCCCCTCCCTGATAGATCTGGGATGCGCATAATAGATTTTAGTCTTTTTTTTCCCATAAATTATATGGATTTGACCTAGTAGATCATATCACTCTTGGTGAATCAACCTCTTGATAGAACTTGCAGTTGAAATGAACTACGGACTGGACCCTTCCCCTTCTGCTTCTTTTTTCCTTTGAGAGCCATGTGTATCAAACCTATTTCATTTCACTATTTTTGGTCCTGGGTTACTTAGCGAACTTCCCAAAGGAGGTCTCTTCCATAACCCCCTGATCAGATAGATGGCTTCAATGTATATGCTTAGCATTCATTCCGTCCCTGTCTCTTTCACTCTCACTCCGACTTGTCCCTTACAAGTTCCTATGTTGATTCACATTATTGTTTTCCCTACAAAATTTTCAAAGGATTGCCAACTGTCAAATTCTCTGGACAATTTGATTACTCTCGAGAAAACGCCCGAAAGAGTGAGGGGATTAGATGAGGCAGAGTCTTACACTTCGTCTCCATTATGAGATGGCATAAAGTGTAGGAAGATAAGCTATGTTTCCCATCTATAATCAGAATGAATCCAGAAGGCACTTCACTGTTTCTTCACTTCTCTGGACATCATGCATAGGTTGGGTTTTGGAGATGGCTATTTCTAAGGATCTTGCCCCCAATTGCAGAGACTTCAACACTGACTCCGTCCTCCAAAACCAACCCCGCATTACCCCACATAATGCTCTATCAAATCATCCTATAAAAGCATTACTGGCTTCTCACAAGCCTAAATCTGTGTATCTCTAGTATCGACTTACACTATGAATGCCTGCATGATTTGATCCTGAACTGAAATGAATCCTAAAGCTCGTGTTACCAACCAAATGATTATTTTTTATTTATGAAATTTAAAACTAGCAGCTCACTAAAGGATTCATGTCTTAAGTCACCTATGGGCTCTTGATAACAAACTCAAGATATGTGCATTAGTCACTCTGCAATGGGGCTCCGCTGACATGTAGGTCACAGCTAGCAAACCATATTGAGAGAGTTTTCACTTTTGCATTTACCTAAATTGAAAGAGTTTGAAGGGTCAAAAGCCGCAGAATTTAGATCAATTCATGTTGTTATACATATAATTAGATCATAAATATTGTCGTTTACTACCAAAGAATTCTTTTTCTTTTTTTTTTTTTTTTAGCTGGCTCTAAGCACTTTTAAGGTCTCGTAATAGCATGCCTCTGTTTTTTTACCAAGGCGCTTTTTTGTAATCTATTTTGAAACGAATTTTTCAGAAGTAAGCCTCTTCTGAAACCTGATGGTTCCATCTACCTCGTTGATGAAAGCATGTCTTCTAACAGGTTGCAGGTAGAAGCTTCTGGAACCAGATGTACCCATCGTTTTTACTGAAATTATTATTCAAACCCCAGCATGTGAATGAGATTCAGCGACCTATTGCTTCAAGTTCATGCGAGAAACCGTCAAGGCAACCCAGTGAGATTTATGTAGAAGCTAATTATTCTACCCTTAAGGCCATATGCACAGATCTGGAAAAGGCGTTGGCTTCTCGTGGAGACCATAGTCGATGGTTCATTAGCAATCAACCATAAATTTTGCAACCAGTAGATAGTTAAGAGAATGGTGGTTCATCGAATGTGTACAACATCAAATTGGTAATTCATAGACGTTGTTTGAAAATCACTGGAAGTTTACATCTGATTCCAGGTCATAGCAAATAACATAGAACAAATTTGTGGAGGATACTGCCTTACCATAGTGAGAAATGGGTACGAAACTGATATTTTTAAATCTGACAAAAAAGAAATCCAAATTTGACTTGTCCAGTGTAGTCTTGCAGAAATGTTCAACAACTTAGTTTGGCTGTGACTTCGTGCAATCATGAGCCCTTGAGGAAATGATCAGCCCGCATGATGCAAATGAAGACAAATAAAATATCAAAAAAGCAAAATTCTCTGTTTCAAAAAACCTAAGAAAAATAAGCTTTTCTCGTTTCATATTACTATCATCCCATGGTCTAATAAGGATGAGGACCTTAAATTTTTCTTTAACCTGTCTCACGTAAAGGAAATAGGTTGCATTGGGTAAAATTCTTTTGCATAAACTTTTCACCCACCGAGCTAAAGGGGAGGAGAATGTTTTTGTTCGCAATTACAAAAAACAAGCATTTGAACAAAATCGGTAAAAAGTTGACATTTAACACGCCAGTTACCTTTTTTTTGGTTGGTTTTTGAGGGCTATTTTCAAATCAAATACACCTTCGAGACTAGGATGCTTTAAGGGGCGGGCTCATAGCATTCTTCAGTAAAAGGAAACACAAATAATTCACTCGGCGCGCACCATATTACTCCCTTGAATGGGTCATTTTAAGTTGTTTATGTTACACCTTTTTAGGAATACACATCTTGTCCGATGGGTTAAAAAATGCTTGAAAGCGTACACCTCACTTCAGAAAACCATGACGCTTTCGTCCCTAGGAATTAGTTTCTATACAAGGTTTGCCTATTTGTTAATGCTAAAGCTCACTTGCCCCATAGACCCTTTCATTTGCTGCAAATAATACCTCAATATACCAAGAAGGATGCACCATAAACCATGAACCAGAAGGACAAATCATGTAGATGGAAGCCTTTTGATGAAGGTGAATCAACTTCTCCTATCTTACGATGAGATCCAAAAATCTACTTGACTAGCTCACTGTACATGGCCGATGCTTCGACCCTTGAACTTAATCCTGAGCTTATGTACAGGCCCTCCTGAAACCTCCCCTTTGCTCTCGACATTTGGCTTGGTTTCCAAACTCAGCTTTGGTTCCAAATTTGTCGGTTCCGAATTCTTCATTGGCTCAACCTTTGAATATAGTGGGTTCACTTCAGCCATGGAAGCCTTGGTTACGTGATCTACCAAGCCCATCTTCTCTTTCTTCCTCTTCTTCTTCTCCCTCTTGAGCCGCTTCCTCTCCAAATACTCGGGATCATCACGCTTCTTCTCTTTCTCTCTCTTCCTTTTATGTTCTTTCTTCTCCTTTTTCTCATCTTTGTTCTCCACAGAGCCCTCTGGGCCTTCTCTAGATTCATGGCTCTGATCTTTCTTCTCCACTGAACCTTGCCGCACTTCACTAGAGTCATGGCCCTCATCTTTCTTCTCAGAATCTTCCTCCGCTGCCCTGGATTTGACGCCCTCGTCTTCCTTCTCCTCAGAAACTCGCTCCACTACCTTAGATTCGTGGCGCTCATCCTCACCTTTCTTCTCAGACCCTTGCTCCACTGCCCTAGATTCATGGCATTCTACCACAGCAGACACCCTGTTCAAGTCATACAGCTGAGCAGAGACAACATGACTGATTTCAGCAATTGCTTTGGCCCCATTAGAGTCATGCACCTGGGAAGAGACTTCATGAGTTACTTCCTCAATGGACTTGCAGATGGGAGAATGGGATGCCCCTTTTCTAGAATCAGCAGTGCATTGCAATTCCTTGCCTAATTCCTCCTCATTAGTAGTGAATTTCAAGCCCCCAATGCTCGCACTCATGCGAGAACCAGGCTCATGAGAGGAGTTCACCTCCTCAAGGTTTTGGCAAGGGACACTCACCAGCTCATTCACGACCCTAAGAGGAGCATCTACCGATACAGAGCTGCTTCCTGCTCTCTCTGCCTCATTTGGTTGCCCACCCCGTGAGGTTTCCATTGCATTCTCATCCTCTAATCTGCTGCTACCTGCTGGGGCTGCACCCTGTTTTACTCTGATTTTTACAACAGGTGCCTTGCGTTCATTACCATTGGAAATGGCATCTGGTTCTATAATGGTGACTTCGGGTAGGGGCAAGACATCAGAGGAGAGGGTGGGCACATTGGGGAGGGGATCTTGGGGTCGAGAGATCTTCAGCTTGAGGAGACTTGGTTTAGTTTTCGTGTCAACCGATGGCTCCATCTCCATAATGGGTTGTATTTGATCTTTTGGCACCCCATAAAGAGTTGGACACCTGCGTGCAGAGGCTAAAAAGGTTAAAACTACCAGTGATATAAGAAAGAGAGCATGAAGACAAAAAGAAGTCTTGGGTTGTGCAAATAACAAAAGGGAGTATTTTACTTCAGGACAAATGAAAATAATTATCTGAGTGGGCTGTCTTGGCCACCCATGTCCCCCAGTAATTCACCCAATAAATTGAAAAACTTCGGAGAAAATCTGGAAGTCAAAGATCAATATTGCCACCCACATTTTGCATGGCAGAATCAAAGATATTTCGGCAAATTATTGAACTGTGGGTGGCCAAAGTAGACTCTTTATCCATGTAATTAATGACTTAAAAATCTAAAACGCTAACTACAAATTTTGAGAATTTATGATATTACTTAGGCCAGGTAAAGGCTTAACCAGTATCATAAACTGCCAAGGATAGTCAAAGATGTGACTTGCATCAACGAAAATGAAATCACAAGAATTATTTTCTATGTCATGGATAGGACAAAAGACCCCCCTCCCCCCATTCTCATAAGTGCTGGCTACTACTTATCCCGGCCAATCAAGAGAAATGAAACCCATTGCTTATAACAGGAAAACTTCCAAACATTTATAAGTGAGGCACATTAATTCAACGATATTTATCAAATGGCAGTATAAGTCCCCTGTCTCCAAACTATCAGTATGGGTAGATCCACTTGTGACGAAAGTATAGATAGCTTGTATACATTTTTCATTTGAAAAACATGTCAAGTTGTTACCAATCAGAAAAAAATAAAAAATACAAATAAAGAACGAAAACCACACAAGTATGCTCACCTTCCTGCCAAAGTTTGCAAAGCACAGAACAGGTGGTGCCGAAGGAAAACATTGTTGAAAGATCTCCGACTTCCAAGTAAACGAAGCATGGCAACAAGTGTAGAACTCTCAAGAGTGTATGGATATGAATAGCCACACTTAATTTGACAAAGGTAGAGGAGATGAACTGTCAATTTCACTTGTCCTGCAATCAAGGTTCACCAGCATTAGCCAATCAAAATCATGATGGTCGCATCCCTGATTTCAAGCTGACAACTGAATCAGAATAGAACAACTCATTGACGAAGTATTGAGAAAAAGCATGTGATGACACTGCTTTTGAACTATCCTATTGTTTTATATGTTGTATTGCTCGTATTTACGCAAAAACAATATATTTGATGTAATGGAGAAAAATCATAAGCCATTTGGTCATCATCATCCACTGAATGGATGAGATGAAGAGACCTGGATCCACTGTGGTGGTCCCTTCCTGTACTTGTAGGTTCAACTCCTTACATCACCTTCAGTCAATTCAGTGGATGGTGATGACCCAATGGACAATGGTTTTTACACAATCCATTGGATTATAGAATATTCATTTATACATTAACCAGAATATACCAATATATACATAATCAACCAAAGTATGCATTAGCATATAACCAACAGCAGAAAACCACATACATTATCTCAGTAGTAATCATGTATTTGTGTATGAGTTTTGGGTAGGTATCAGCATCATATCTACATCAAAGATACTGAACATCATAAAATTGATAAGTGCAAACCTCGTATTGAAGATTCTTCCTCTATAAATCTCATGCACAATATTAGGGCCTCATTAAGGCCTTTACTATGGAACTCAAGATCGAGGAGTGCCCTGCTTGCCTCACTTCGAACTTGCCATATTGTTGTCCCAACATTTCGAAAAGGTTTAATAAGCTCAATTACACGATCCTGCACAATCAAGATTGCACAATTGAGAATCAGAACTATTGTAGTAACAGCATATCGCTACTCAAATGAACAACTTACGATAAACCATCTGAAAGAGACAAAACAATATCTATCCTCTAACTTTTCCAATGGACTTACTAAAGATACATAGTCCGACAGAGTCAATGCAATCTGTGTCAGTGTGCGGATGCAGCTGATTGTCAGGATGCCATTGTAGCTGGGCATCAGCCTGAAGCAATGGCATACCAACACTCCTCAAAATTGTGAATATATGGAGTGTCTCAATCCACAAGTAAAGAAAATGAATTTATTTGCTTCTAATTCTATCATACAAGGTGTAAACCTACAGGAGTATACATCAGTAACAAAAGATGAAAACAGATGAAATTTAAATAAAAATGAAATGAACTCACCGGTCAAACTGCATTAATCGATCTATGCGCTTGAGAAGAGATGGTAAATATTGAATGGTCTGTCCAAAACCAATCATGAACATCTTAGTTTACAGTTATTATGGGACAAGAACTACGAAGTACATTGGCCAAATAAAGGCAGGTAAATATGAATGATAATGCCTTAACTTCAAGTACGAGTATTAATCTTCTGGTTTACTCCAGTCAAGTACTTAGAAAGGTCACAAAATTATGTTTTTCAGTTTATGAAATATTGGCTGGACATAGACAGCATTTACACCCCATATTGTGTTGAATGCAAACATCATTCAAGCATATATAAGGCACAAGCCATACAGTTTCTGAATGTAAGCCAGTTAATCAGGTGAAAAGGAGATGTAAGGAAAAAAAAAAAAACTCAATTAGATTCTATGATGGCAGGAATAATGAAAATGAATCCTGGCAGCTCTGAGCTTTACCAGTAGAAATGATGTTTCAAGTTTACTCCTAAGCAACAGTCATTTCAATGAGACCATGATAAGTAACCTAGGTCTGTCAGGGGTGGGTGGCACCTTTATGAGCCATACAGGGTGACTCATGCTATTCTTCCGAGGCCTGTTGGGGTTCAGGATTCCATAGCAAGCCAAGGGGAATACCTTGCTCAAAGGGTTGAGGCCCTTTGTGACAATGTTGTCACTGCCACTTATTGTTGAGAGAGACGAACAATATATTTCACTGGGCATCAAAAGAATCTACCTACCTTGGCGGCAAGCAAATAATTTCAGAAAAGTTTTGTTCCTGAGCATCATTGGGTGCACCTTTCACCATATCTTTAAAGGGACCAATGACTTGCCAGATAGACTTGCAAAAGATAGTGTAGTCTGAGCTCCATACTCTTTTGTTGTTTGGGGGGGGGAGGTTAACAGTTGTACATTGCATGTGTGAAAGTGAACAGAACTGAGCTCCATAGAGATTGTTACCACGAAATAACCTAAGCTCCGCTTTCTATCCCTTAGCATTTGCTAGGTCTGCCCTCTTTTCTCCCCCTATCCCCCATTTATTGTCACTTTTCCTATCTGCCCTATTGTCTCTGCTTCAATGTACCTTTGTGTACAAAAAAAGAAAACATATCCCTCATGTTTCCTTAGAAAGTAATTCAAATCGCAGGAACACTGTACTAATAAGTAATGGATCCACTGAGAAGACAAGCTTCCTTCAAGTAATTCCCACTCAACTATTGCTTCATGTACTACCACTTTTCCTAGGTGTTTCTGGTGAACACAGCTAACTTGTTCCATTTGATTGCTCATAGGATGTGAACAAAAACTTTGTTTTTGCCACTCATCAGTTGTATTTAAATATTCTCCATATGTAGGGCCACTTTATCACTAGTAAAGAAAAAACTGGGATTTTTTGGGGGAAATATATCAAATCACAATTATTAGTCAAACTATTCAACATTCCATCATGTGTGATTTGATAAACTTCAAAATACATAATAATGTGTCATTTGATGGGATATTCGAAATTTAATCACAAGAAAATAGGCTATTTAAATTAGATCAGAAGATATGGCTGGGATGTTAAATAGTTCAACTTTTCGGTGTGATTCCTACAACTTCCCATTTCTTCTTTTTTACTTCCATTTGATGTGATTAACATCTTCTAAATCTTACTAAGATGTATTGGTCTTAAAGTAGAGTTCAATGGAAACAATTTATACTAGACAAGTTAGGCACCAGAAATGGTCTTCAACTTGCTTGTGGAACTGAAGCTCGTCTTCTTTGACTACTGGTATCTCAGTGAATCAGTCATACCTTTCATCCATTGGTGCAACCAGTCCCAAATAGAAATTATAACAGACAATTTTGAATTGAAAGGAAAACCCCATGAACACAATCTCTGCATGCATCTATATACACATAATAAATGCCAAAAGGACTGCCAGTCATGAAGCATTTTCATAGAATGACAAGAAGCAGCAATTAATAATTGGTTAGGTGCAACAACTGGAAAATAACAACTCTTTTAATATTGCCAGATGCAATTTAACAAATCATGGATCAGGGACTGCCAAAAACTCATAAAAAATGATACAGCTGCAGGTGGAAGAAAACCGAAGGATACAATTGTAACTGAGGGTATCATGCTAATATGATTTATGCAATGATTTGATAGATGGCACACAAATCATCACATGATTATTATTCATTATAGTCTCACCAATTACTATTCTTATTCTTGCCTCACAATTCAACAGACTTCATTTGAAGGAATAATATCTTAGGAACCAAAACTATAAAGTCCAAGGCAAATCTGGAAATCTGACAAAGGGAAAACAACAACATAAAAGTGCAAAGCCTGAGAAATAAGGACATTCACATGAGAATGCCAAAATCATTTGAAATCCATCAATATAACAGAAAAATAAGAGTCAAAACAAACCTGATGCCCAAATTCAAGGTCACCAATCGATTGCACCAACGCCGCCATCCAGTACACGTCAGAATACTGGTTCCCACTATTGTCATTATACTGAAAGCAGTGAAAAAGAATCAGCCTCTTGTAATAAACAAAGGATCAAACAGTGGAAGTTGCTATGCTGCAACAACCATACAGGAATAACACTATCTTGTTCTTAATCCAAGAATGCTGATGGGACATGTAGTTTAAAACTTTTCAATGTCTTCATTGACCAATCAATAAAATTTCCAGAAAAATACAGTATTTCAACCATAGAAGACACATTTGCAGGAGAGGAAGTAAAAGGACAGCAAATTTTAGACAGTGTCAACAGGGAAACTCCAGCACTACCCAAACAGGTAAAGTTTGCTTCTTAAATTTCAAAGAGTTTAATAGAAACTCAATAGAATTCTGTGGGGATACATTCTCCAACTCTTTAACAGAACATGGGTGACCGCGAGGTCAGTCCCACACCTCTTACCTACGATTCACCCCCTGCTGTGGACGAAGTCCGGCATCTTACTATGGAGAGCCTCCGTAACTACCATGGTGCGGGTGATCTGGATGGAGAGAAACAACAGAATCTTCTAGGGCAAAAAGGCTATCGCTGAAGTTTTATTCGCACGCATAAGATACTCTCGCTTATCCCCTTGTCCTTGGAGACTAGCACATGCCTTTGACGAGATATTCCATATTTGCAGGTCTATGCACATCTCATGGAGATATATCTGGCCAAAGGTCAACACTACAGCCGACACCCTTTCTAAAGTAGACGCAACTCAAGGCAACACGCAAGGAACCGTTGTGGCACCTTTCTGAGCTTCCGGTTCCTTGCATTTTTGTACTTATGGCTTCTTTACAGTAATGGATGTATAGCATTGTTTAAAGTTATAGCTCTTCTTTTGTAAAGATCCCCCTTTTGAGAGCGGCTTTTATATAGAGCACCCAGGCCGTGGGCTGCCTATCTTTTGTACTCTGTATACTTCTTTCCCTTCCAACAAAGTTAACAGTTTCGAAAAAAAGAAGGGAAAAAAAGAAACTGGGCAAAACGGGGAAACCTGCAGGCCCCATCTAAACGGTATCAATATCAATTTAGGACAGGTCCAATTTGATTAACATTAGGAAACAACCTCCCCAAATAATTGGGATACGGCTTGGATGATGATGATGATTAGTGACAATAACCTGGCAACTAGCAAATTCCCCTTTCCTACTAGCAATATGATTCTCATTCATAGAATGGGCAGTGGCAGTGTTACCTCAACCATTTATTTCCCTGGTTATGTCAGTATCCAAGACTTCAATGCACTAGTTAATTTCAGATATTGTTTTATGTTAAAAGACACACACACACACATATACTATTTTGTCTATAATTAATATACCCTGCATAATAATGCTTTGTTAGCTGTTTGGTAGCTCTCCTATACTAAATAATCTTATGTGATTCAGTGTTTCAAAAAATGTTGGGCAGCACCTAAGCAGATGCCCAAAACCTAGTAGAAATTTAAGGGTCAGATTTTGTGCAAAAAATTGAAAACACACATATTGAGACATATTTTAGTCTATAATTCAATGCATTTCAAATTTTAAAAAATACATATTGAAACATATTTTAGCTAATAATCCAAGATACCACATCAATTCATTATCAAGAAAATGAAAAGAAGATAAGAAATAACAGTAAAACACGTAAGAGTTATGGACTTGGGGCACATCAAATGTCTATCGTCCACAAGCCCACATGGCACATACACTCCCCCATACTCCATAAGTCCATATTTAATTATCCATAGTGCATACTCCACACATGTTTAGATCGATTTCTTGTAACTATGAGAAACCCTTGATCCTATGGACATCACAAAAAACTAGTTTTTTGAGGTTTTTCTCTCTCTAAAATAGGCTCTAATGAGGTTTAGGTTTCAAATGACCCTAAAACCCACCCTTATCCCTTTTTTTATTAAAAAAGAACCCAAAACTGCCCCTCAACAAGGGCCATTTCCACCCTTGGGTGGGGGCACAGGCCCTAGGCGGCCACCGAGGGGCAAGCTGCCTATTTGGGCTGCCTAGGCCTGGGCAAGGCGTCCAGGCTCTTTGGACCGCCTATGCGCTGGGCGCTCCGCCTTTTAGAACACTGATGTGGTTAGTTTTTCAGTAACCTAACCCTACACTCTGTATATTTGAAATTTGGCCATGGCCCGAACTTCCAAAGCTTCTTTCTCCTCCATTCCAAACCCTACTATCTTTTTAGTTCTCTTCCTCACTCTAAAAAAGACTGATCTTCATCTTCTCTCTCATCAATTAACCCCTTTTCCCTTCTTCTCCCTCTAAAACCCCAAAAGCTTTCTTACTTTCTCCCACAAACTTCTTCAACTTTACCTTGTTGTCTCCAATTTCGGTCCCTCTAATACAGATTTACAGAAGCTGAGCCCCTCTCTTGAGATGGGTTTTCTCAGCTAAGGTGACCATTTTGGTGGTTGCCCTATTCTTTTTATGAGATGAGTATCCTGCAATTTTGTGGGTTTGGTGGTGTACATGATGATTTGGAGCTGAATTAGAGTTGCTGGCTTGGTCAAGAACTTGAGATGAATTGCTCATCTCTGAGTTGGGTTTTCTGAAAATGGAGAAAAAAGCATATATGCATGAGCAGAGGGTTCAAGGAAAGAAGTCATTGAAACTTACTCCCCCAAAAAAAAAAAGGTCATTGAAACTTGAGTTTCTGAAACTTTTGGTGGGTGAATTGGGCATTCTCTCTACAAAAAAATGGCAGGAGAGTGGCAAAGCAAGGGTGGAGAAACAAAAGGAACAATAGTAAAGAGAACAAAGAAAATGGTGCGAGCTTAAAATACAATAAACCCTTTTTCTCTCTAATTCAGACGACCTTCGCTCTCTCTGCCCGTAACCTGAAGCATTGACAAAATGATAACTTATATATATAATACAAGTGAAAACTACTTTTGGAAGAGAACAAGTTCTATGAAAACAAACAACAAGTCTTAACTCAAATAACTCTATACGGGATGCCAACAAACAACATATTGAATATTTTTATCTTAATAGCAAATTATTAGTGAAACAGTAGCATTCAAATGGGTCTTTATATTATGTTATTATAAAATTTATAGAAACTTTTTATAAAAATGAGCTGTTAAATATTAGTTTTTAACCATTTTTAATGAGTTAGTGAGCATGTAACATATTAATAGCTTTATGTATATTTCGGTATGCAGAGATTTCACTTGTTCAACAATATCGGACTGTCAAGTTGGATATACATAAGAAACAGACACACATGTTTGGGCTTCCATGCAAGAACGCTAGTTGTATTTCGTTTCATGAACAATAATACGTGCTATTTACTATTTTATAGAAGTATCAATAGATTGACCTAGGGGGCTTTACTTATTTATAAATGGAAGCAACTCGCATACTTCTTTTGTGTGGGGTTTCCATTTAACACAAAGTAGTTTAGCCTCGTTATGCACAACTATGGATTTATTTTGTCGCACAAATTTGTGTACAAAAGGACACCCCTTGAGAATATTATCGTCACACCGGTAAGTGTCCAGGTGAGCTAATCTGGGAGAATAATAATGGAAAGGACATGAAAATAAATAATTGGAAGATAAAGATAATTATAGCATGCATGATAGCCAGATGTTTTCATAGCATTTTAATCAAGGTTGGGTTTCATCCTCGATAAAAATAGTCTAGTGACACTGCGGATAAAAAATGACAGTCTAGCGACCCTGCAGATAAAAATAGTGTTGCCAAGAGCTGCTGCAAACCAGGTCTCTGCTTTGGAAAATGAATAAAACACCAGCACCGTTTTGAATATTCATAATTCTGTCTCAAACTATACGATTCTAAAACCTAACTGCTGAAACTTTCTGTCTCCAATTTTCCACAGAAACTTTCCAACTCATAAAACAACGTAATATATAATGTAATATTAAAATGTACCGAGCCACACAAATGGAAATTACTGACTCAAAAATATACATCAGTGCAAGGTGCAAGTAATCTAAACTCCATCGACTTCATATTCCAACAGCAATGAGTAGATTGTGTCATTTCCCAATCATCCCAATTTTTCTACCATCAATATGGGAGACAAAGTAACAAACAAGTACTCGTTTCATTTGAACAAGGCCTCGAGAAGTGTTACTGGTGAATGAAAAGTGATCAACAACTAATAAAAATCAACCAAATAATGTTGCATTGTTTAATGCTAAGTCATAACCTTTAACAACTGCAAGATGAATTCAACAGCTTCTCTTGGGCTTTTCTTATCTGCTGCTCTAACCATGGCAACTGCATGTGGGATAGCCTGGCAAGGAGAAACCAATTTTGAGTATAGGTCCATCTAAGATTACCAGTACAGTAAAAAAGGAAAAAGGAAAATTACAAGCGACTATCAACTCCAGTTAGAGAAGCATATATAAAAACTAAGCTTTAGAAGATTAATAGCAAATTCTCCCATATTCTAGATAAAACACAGAAAAGGAGATCACAAAGCATTTAAATTGGACAAGGAGTATTTCTTCAAAAAAAACATTAGAAGTAAACAAAGAGTACACATAATCGACGGTGAACAAAAACTCACCCGCCTAGTGCATAGGCAGCCTAGGGGGCTTTCCGAACCAAATAGGGCTTACTTCGTACTGCGGCCCTCCTAGGCTGCCTAGGTGGTCCTATGGAGCCCCGCCCAAAAACAAGGGCTCCAAGTGTTTGATGCGAGGAGCTTCTCTCTCTCTCGCTCTCTCTCTCTCTCACACACACACACAAACATAAAACCATATGCTCTCGATCTATCTACACATAACAAGAAAAAGAATACGGCAACTACCAAATGTTCGATGTGAGGCCTCTCTCTCTCACACACACATGACCATATGATCTCTCAACATACAAGAAGAAGATGAAGAAGACCTCCAAGTGCATGATGCAAGGCTTCTCTCTCTCTCTCTCACACAAACACACATGGACCCATACACGTGCTCTACATATAAAAATAAGGCCTCCTCCAAGTCTTCAATGTGAGGCCCCACTCTCCCGTCTCTCTCTCTAATGGCCCAAGTGCTCTCTTTTTCTCTCTACATATAAGAAGAAGAATAAAAAGAAAACGACCTCCACACATTTGATGTGAAGCTCTCTCTCTCTCTACATTGGAGAAGAAAAAAAGAAAGACGACCCCAGGTGTTTGATGCAAAGCCTCTCTCTACATATAAGAAGATGACTTCAAGATCTCTAATGAAGTCCATGGTGGTCAGGGTCAATTGGTCTTCCTCGCGAGTTCTACATCTCCGACTTTGAAGTAGGACTGCATGTTCGAGAGGAAGTTCTCCGACTCTTTGGCATTCCTTGTTCCTTCAAATGGCTTAGGCTCAGGCATATAGACTTTAATGGCTAAAGCACACCTGGCGAGTTGCTTGGAACCCTTTTGACAAGGTCAAACTCCTCAGCCAGTGTCTCAAGGTTTTCTTTGAACAGGTAGGCAAGGGAAGCGATATCAATCTCAAGGTCCCCCTTGCAGGTTCCCACCAAACGATTAAGCTGTGTTGTGAGAGCCTCGATGCCCTCGTCCAAGGCAGCAATATTAGCAACCAAAGCCTCCTCAATGTCCTCTTTCTACAACCAACGACATGCTAGCAGCAAATCAGCAACAATTTCCTGTAAGGTGTGGACGGTCCTGGTTCTTGATAACATTCAGCGAAAGGAAAAAAAGGAACTGATGGCGTTCCCCCACTCTTTCACGCAACTTTTCTCTGGCCACCCCCCACCCACCACCCTTCCCCCCTCCCTCCCCTCAGCTTCCCCTCGGCCTCCCCCTCATCGCCACTCTTTGGGTCCCCCCCCCCCTCTCACATGGCCTTGCTTAACTCCTCGTTAGTTACTTCTCTCTCCCCCCTCATTCTGACCTTCATGCCAATGAGAAGTGGGCTCAATGGTCTTGGACTGACCCTAACATTGACTGTCGCTCCCTTCAGCATGGAGGCATCCTTTTTTCCTTCCCTGAAAGGGAAGGGTGGGATGTGCTCTCCCCCTTGGCCTTCAAAGGTGCTACCCTCTCCATAGCTCGTTTGAACCCTAACGTGGGAGCCTTTCTCCCTTGCCGTATTTGGCTTCGAGCTTTCAACATACCCCTCCATGCGTGCAACTCGAGAACTTACAAGGCTATTGGTGAAGCAGTAGGGGGCTTCATCTGCGTTCATTGGAAATCTTCAGAATTCCTCCCTTTGGGTCGATACAGCTGCTCTTAGATTCTCTTTCACCGGAGCTTATCCCTGAGGCGACTTGGCTTGAGATCAATGGCCACTACTTCTGGGTTAGCTTGGCTTGGATCCCGACTTCGCCTCCTTCCAAACTCCACTTCCAGGCTACCCATCCCTCACCATGCCTCCGGGACTCTGGTTCCCCTTCTCTGCATGGTTGGACTCCACGGTCTAAAGTGGCACCGGAGAGGTTGTCCCGGCATTTCTGGCTGCCAGCGGCCTCCTTTCTGGTGAAACTCCGGCAAGTCTGTGGCTGATGTCCCTCTCGATCGCCGTACACCTCGCACCAAAGCCCTGCTGCCTGCTGTTCCGTTGTCCAACCTCTTCCCTTGACCATCCCCCATTGGTTGAGAGGGTGCCCTTTTCAGTCTTGAACCCCCCCTGCAAGTTGATTCTTTTTTATGCAAGTTACCTACTGACTCCTCTTCGTCCTGCCACGTGTCCTTTACTGTGGCCTCCTCTGGGCCTTTGCCTTTTGTTTCCTCTTTTGCCCCTGTTATTTCTTCTCTTATGCCCTCTCTACCCCCTCCTTTCTCCACTATTCCTTCCCCCCCGCCCACTTTCGCTGCCTCTCTCTCGTTCTTTGCCCCTTCCTAATCCCCCCTCTGTGGAAGCCTCCCCTGGCGACACGTCTGCTCTGGTGTTGCTGCCACCTAGTGCCACCACCTCTCTTAGTTTATGCTCCCCTTTGCTGCCGCCAATGGGCGCCAATCCCATCTTCCCTTTTGTTTCTCAGCCACTTGGCACTCACCCTTCTTCCTTTTCCTCCTCTCCCTTGATATCGCCTTCTGGAGTCTCATCCTCTAGATTGTGCTCTTCTCCCATCCCTTTGTCTGTGCGGCCTCCATCTCTGTCGACTCTTCTGGGTTCCCTCCCCTCTTCGTCGCAAGGCTCTGCCCGTCGCCTCTCGCCTGCTTCATGCCTGCCCTTTCTTTGTGCGAGGCCTCCCCTCCCTCGTTCACCCACAATCCCCCCTCGATCGGCTCAAGCCCTCTCGCCAGTCAGTCTATCCCCTAACAGCTCTCATCCTTCCTCTTTGGCTCCTACCTACCCCCCCCCCCCCCCCCCCTTCGGTGCCCTTCTCTATTTCAGCCTGGCCTCCCTCCTCTTTCACCTCTCCCCTCGCCTCTCGTGCCTCCTGTCGGAGGGATGATCTTGGCCTCTCTCTCCACTAGGGGCTCCCCTTTCTCTTGCCCCTTTTCCCCTTCCCTGACCTGTTATGGTGGGGAGCCCCTTGGCACCCTCGTCCCTCCCTCTGATGATTTTGATTCCACCAAGCTTTCGACGCTGCCCTGGGCGACACCCTCAAGGAATCAAGGTGATGGGTATGGATTTTCCCGGCCATCAGGAGGCCCTCATCAATTCCATCGAAAATGACCCTTTCTTCAGATCGAACTTTAAATCCAAGGAACGGAGGGAAATGGTTGATCTCATCTGCCACATCAACTCTGATCGTGATGGGCCATTCGTTGAACCCCGAATGCCAATTTGCCTTCTTCGAGGGGTCGCCCCATCACTCACCTTACAGGGGGACGTTCTGCCCACTCTCTCTCTCCCTTCCATGAAGATTTTAACCTGGAATATCAAGGGTCTCGATGACCCTTTGAAACTCCAGCACATTCTCAAATTATGTCGGCAACACTTGCTTGCGATCCTAGCTTTGCCAGAGACCAAACAGCCTGCTCCCTCGCTCCAAAACGTGTATCAACTTGAGGTCGACGTCCCTGCCAATGGCTGGCTATACTGTCCAATGGTGCATCCGGAGATATATGGGTCATCTGGGACCCTTCTCTTCATTCTCTCTTATTCTTTCTTATTGGGGAATTCTCGGTCTCAATCTCCCTTCTTAGGACATTGGATGGTTTACCATGGAAATTTTATGTCATGTATGGCCCCAACTCCCATGCTTGAAGAGATAGTTTCTGGTCTGAACTCCAATCCATTGCCTCAATTTCATCCTTGACCCGGTGTATTGGGGGGGATTTCAACATTACTCGGTGGTCCTTTGAAAGGAACTCTAATTCAAGGATTTCCCCCGCAATGGTGGTGTTCTTTTACTTCATTACCAGCAATCAACTGCTGGATGTACCGCTTCAAACGCTTCACCCGTTCGAACCACTCGGAAGACCCCTCCTTGTCTAAGCTTGACCGGTACCTCCTTTCTCTTGAGTGGGACTCATCTTTTCCCAACTTCCACTCTGTAGCCCTCCCCAAGCCTATCTCTAATAACCGGCCTATTCTTCTCAACACTTCTGCCCTGGGCCGAGGTCCCAAACCCTTCCGTTTTGAGCTATCTTGGTTAGAGGAGCCCCATCTCCCCTCCCTCATTGCCTCGTGGTGGCTTTCTTTCTCCCCTATCGTTCGTGGTTGGCTTGGCTTTGCCTTCAGCATAAGCCACATCTTTTAAAACTCGCCTTTAAGGACTCGTGCAAAAACCTTCCGTGGCATTTCTTGGCCCAAAAGCAGCCTTTTCTCGACACTATTCTCCGCCTTGATTCTCTCGAGGAATCTGCACCCCTCTCTCTTGCTAACCAAATTGAGCGCAGTGAGGCCAAGTTAGCTCTCCATTCCATTCTCGTAAGGAGGAAATCTTTTGGGCGCAGTGCTCCAGGGTCAAGTGGTTGAAACTAGGCGATAATAACACCGCTTTCTTCCATAAGATTGCGAATTGTCACAAACATGACAATACTATTTCCTTTATCAAAATTGGAGGTCAGCATCTCGACCAACCGCAGCTCATTGAGCAGGCCTTCCTCAACTTCTTCCAGACCCTTTTCAAGGTGCAAGAAGGCTCAAAGCCTTTGATGCCATCCCTTAGTTTCAAAGCTCTCCCACCCGACAAAGCAGTGTGGTTGGGACGCCCTTTCGAAGAAGCTGAAATCCTTGAAGCAGTCAAGTCCTTAGGCCACAATAGAGCCCCCGGCCCCGATGGCTTCCTCGTTGCTCTCTTTCTTCAGTTTTGGCACACCATTAAGAATGAGGTGGTGGCTTTCTTTGCTGATTTCCACTCTAGCAGAGTGATTAATATGGCCATGAATGCTACCTTCCTGGCTTT